CTATTAATAACAGGAGGTGAAATGCAGCTCCAGACGAGCTTTGAATGTGGTGATGTCATCAGTACGCTGCTGTTCTAGGAGACGAGTCGCGTTCTAGTGAATTGAGAAACGGCTCCTGTCTTATTTTCCTTCTTCCTGTTCGTATAACCAGGTAATTAACCCCAGTCTGTGATTTGGTGGACATGCAGGCGGTTGGAACTGATCCCTGTAGAGGCGTCTTACTCTCCGGTCCTGGTTATCCACCTCTACCCGTATCATCCTCACTCATCCTGGAGGGTTTTATCTCGATCATTTTCTGAACTGTGAAGATAAAGACACATTCTGTCATCTTCCTCCTGTTTAAACTGTAGCTAAACAGAAGTAGGCCTCTATGTTGGATCAAATGTGGATCTCAGGTAAACAGGAAGTCATGGTTTAGTTCCCAGAGGTCTGATCAGCCTCAGACTGTGGTGAATGTGTGGAAACAGAAAGCTTCTCTTCTACTTTCTGTCTGAACTGGTCTTTTAGCTCATGTTGATCATTCATCATCATCATCATCATCATCATCATCGATACTTGGATGGAAACAATGTTCGGGTTCGGCTGAGCGTTTTCTTCATGTCAGAATAGCTGCAGCCGTTACCGTTTTCTCCCAGAATAATTGTCTTTCCATCCCTGAACTCCACGGCCCTCAGAGCAGAAACTTCAGTGAAGCATTAGAGGTGAGGAGAGAGGAGGGATTGATTTTCACCCACCAAGCCTGACACCTTAAGGAGCTCGCACTGATTGGCCCAGCCCGCAGCACTGCACCTTGGTGGGCATCAAACCCGCACTAAGTTAGGCTTCTCTTCCAGCCCACTGCCTCCGAGCTCTGATAGGCTGCCTCAGGGGGCGTCCGCCCGGCGACAGGGCCTGTGCTCGCACTGATAGGCTGTGGAGCGTGATGCCTCCTGGCTGGACCTGAGCTCAGCATCCAGCTCACCTGTGAGGAATCAATGAACACACACTTCATCAGATGGAGATACCCCTGACAGTCTGGCCCAGGGATTACATGCTCCTAAACAGGGAATCATTTCCCACCTCCTATTTCCACCTTCTAACTCTCCCCTTTCCTGGGGGGGGGGATCCTGCATCCTGGTCCTCTTTAGGTCAGCAATGATCCTCTACTGACGGGTAAACTAAAGATATTTTTCATTTTCACACACATACAGATAAAAAGGAGTATCTAGGCCAGGATAGAGGTTTATTTTTAATACCAGAATAAAGTTATAACAATATGAGAAAATGTTGTAAATATAAAGCTGTAATATTATGAGAATAAAGTCACAACATTATCAGAATGAAGTCATAACATCATCTGACTATTGTAATATTATAAAGTCATAATATTAGAAGAATAAAGTCAAAATAATGGAGAATAAAGTCATAATATGAGAAGAAAGTCCGAATATTAGGAGAATAAAGTCATATGAGAATAAAGTTGAAACATAAGAACAATAAAGTCACAATTTGATGAGAATAAAGGCGCAACACTTTCAGAATAAAGTCATAATATTAGGAGAATAAAGTCATAAAGTTTTGCTTATAAAGTCTTAACATTATAAGAATAAAGTCCTAATAATACAAGAATAAACTTGTATGTTCGACTTTATTCTCATAACATTGTGACTTTATAATCTCACAGCATTATTTTCATGATTTTATGACTTTATTCTCATATCTAAGATCAAATATCTAGCCTTGCCCCTTTAAGGTGAGAGCTGTTTGGCGAGCAGAAAGTAACATAAGCTGCTCCGCTTTGTTTTATTTTTAAATTCTGAGCTTTCTCTCTGCTGGAAGTTTGAGCCATCACCACCTAAACCTTTAAGGTATCAGAAGCTTTGCTTTGCACCCTGACTTCTGTATTGCTGGACGGTAACTGAGGACTAAGCTGCTGCTTCGTGCATTTTGTCAATTTGAACTTTTCGCTGCATTGATAGATTAGCATCCAGCCACCATAGAGCAATAAGTTCACCTACCATCT